ACTGTACATAAAAGGAAACCACTTCACAAAATTCAGGAATATATTTTATGAAATGTTACTGTTCTGTTTATGCATTAGTCTAAAAAACTAACCAGTTTTTATTAAAATAAGAATTAATTTCTTTCCCCTCTCTTATCTTAGATTTTTTTACAAATCAGCTAAGGAAGTTGCCTGCAGAATTCTGAGTAGTTAACCTTCATTGCAAAATTTTAAATTGCTGTAATTCTGCTGCTTGGAAACAGACATGGAAAAAGAAGAAAACTCTTTTAACGATCTCAGAGCTCAGAAGAAGGTTCCAACTTTGAACGGGCGTGCTATAGGACCCCACCAGACAGATAGTAACCAATTCAAAGGAGATCAAATGAGGATGGATGGAGTATGCTGAAATACCGAACAGTAGAGATGTCAACATCCAATGACACGGTGGCCAACCAATTAAAATAAGTTAATCTACATTCCAGTACCAAAAAAAGGAGACTTAACAGAGTGGGCAAACCCTTGTACAATGTCCCTAATTTCCATGCTAACAAAATTATGTTTAGGATTTGTATTGGAATGTAGATTGGCCTCTTCCAATCGGCTGGCCACGATGTCATTCTCCAGATTTGCTGGCATAGCTTGGTGAGAACGCTGACTGATTCTTCTTCTGCTGCCTACCATATTTCAGTGGGTCTTCCATCAGTTCCTGTAGCCTTCCGACTTGGTAATGACCAGAGTGCTGCCCTAACTTCACCTTCTATATTCCTAGGTTCTTGTAAGTAGGGAATATCTTCTAAGGTTTCTTAGATGTTGACATCTCTGCTGTACAGTATTTCAGTACTCCTTCCACCTTTGTTTGATCTTCTTTGAGTTGGCTACTATCTGTTCACTGGCATCCTTTAGAATACCAATTCAAAGTTGGAATTTCCTTCTGAGTTCAGAGATCTTTCGAAATATTTTCCTTGTTTTTCCATGTCTGTTTCCATCATCATCATCAACAACAATAATAATAACAATACCCCAAAGATTTGGAAGGTGATATTTCAGGAGAGGAGTGGTAAGTTTTGAAATCCAATTTTTAAGATTCTTTCCCCAATATTTATTAACTGCTTTTCTGCTGGAAAAGCAACTAAGAGGGATTTCAAACACTCACTTTTATCACGAAGTGTAACATTTTCCTCCAGCAATTCTGTCCTCCTACCCTTGGATAGAGCTACAGAGCCCGGAGAGTAACAGATTTAGGTTTTGCAAGGGGGGAGCAGGAGGGTGAAAGCTTCTGTGGTTGGAATAGTTCTGCATTTCTCCCAAATATTTATTTGTGGCTTTGTCCTCACTCCCAACTGGCATAGGACCCTCTAAAAAAATATTAATAACAATATAATAATAATAAAAATGACAACAACTGCAAGGAAATTCAGCTCAGGCTAAAGCAAGCGTCTCCACCATTGAGAGAACAGCTTCTGCTGAAATTGTACAAAAAAATGGAGAGAGTTTTGTCTACAGTCCAGCTAAAACACTAGTTCTCACGGGGTTTGCAATGAAGCATTAAACATATTCTTTATCCCCCCCGTTGAACTCGTCCATAAATTAGGGAGGGAGTTTATGCAATAATGGAGCTGACCCCTGGATGCTGTGCCTGCCTGAAAGGAAGACTAAATCCCTCTCCAAATAATCTTCTTCTAAAACGGGAGGGCTCTCTTAGCTTCACCGGGACGATGGTAAGGGAGGCAGCTCAGCTCTTCTGTCGCACGTTCAGATGGGGAGGTCATTGCCGATGAAGGTGCGCTCTCAGCATGGGCAGGTACAGCCTGCAGTTCTGCCTGACTGAAAATCAGCGCGCCTGATTGCATTTCTGGGTGCAGCCCCAGGACCATTCGCAGCGGCAGATGGAAAGCCAGCCCTGAGCGTTGGTGGCCAGAGAGCCCTTCCTTGGCACTCTTTTCTTTCCTCTTTGCCCCGACAGCCTGGCAGACGGTCCTTTTATGAGTCATGGATGACTCCTTTCCCCGGGCACCACCTTCAGGGGGAATTTGGGGCTACCCATTTCCTTAACTGCTCAAAGCTGTAATGCAGCAAGTGGCTTGGCCCCGAATTGGGGGTTCTCTCTCTTTTCGGCTCTGTAATCCCGCAGAGGGTGCAGAAACGCATTTGATCCTGCAAGACAAGAGTGCCGCCAAGGAAGTGAGCCTTCCATTAGCCACCCACACCTTTCCGTGGACAGGATGCAGCTGAGGGAGAGGCCAGGTTTGTTTGTGTATTTCAGGGGTGCTCAAAAAAGTCACGATGGGGGAAGCAATGGAAGCCCCGCCTCTTTTCTAAGGGCATCACACTTGCAGCACTTATGTAAAATAGAGGCAGGGCCTTGATCCCACAGTCATGGCTGGCATTATGACTTTGCTGATCCCCCGTGGATGCTCCTGGTTTATTGCGTTAAAAATAGAATATTTTATTTCCATGAAAAACAGTGTTCCAGGTTACGAACCACCCTAAAATGCCAGTAAGGCAGACAATTACAATTAAAACAAAAACAAAAATATCAAAGGAAAAAAAATCAGATGCCTTCACACGTTCAACGCCAGTTTATTGTGGTGTGTTTTTTTTATTCTTCTCCTGTTTATAAGATTTATTTTCTGTTTTTCAGTAAGGTAGTACATTTTTGTTCGCTGTTTTGACCTGTTTAGCTCCAGGCAGGGGCTTTCCAGATCATAGAAGCTTGAGTGGAAACACCTCCGTTCTCTCTTCTGACCCAGGTGAAAACCTCATTTGTGGAGGTGTTTTGAAGTAGATGCTTCCTTTCTTTCCTTCTTTTCCTTTAATTTGATGGCGGATCTTGTTTCATCATACTTAGCATCCTTTATGTTGTGTGGGTCTGAGACCCAAAGCTCAGGTTTTTAAGTGATTGAGCCATGCCTTAGTCAAAGCTCAAGATATTTTCAGCCTTTTGCTTTCAGGGGAAAAGACGTGAGCAGCCAGTCTTTGACCTCCTGGATACTTCAGGAAGATCCAAAAGACTCCACTCTGGCTGGATTGTGGCCTTTTATGAAGTACACCCCAATTCTTTTGCCAATGATTTTGGAAGACAGCCTGACTGTTCTAGTCTCATAGTAGAACCAAGTCTGCTTAGAGTTCAGCTCCAGGCCTAGTGGCTTCAGGGACACCCCCATGTTGTTTTCTTGGCTTTTCCACTGTCTTCTTCTAGGATGTTCTTTTGACTTCCTCATCTAGCCTACAGCCTTGGGGTTTCCTGACAGTCTCTCATCCAAGTATTAACCAGGTGTGACCCTGCTTAGCTTTTCAGATCATTCAAGGTGAGCTAATAAGGGCTGCTACCTAGCAGAGCTCTGGTCTGATAGAATTGCACCATAAAAATATTATTTGCCATCATTGCTGCTGCTTTTGGGGAGTATCCAGTTTTGTGTGCCTCAGCTGTCCTCATGCAATGGGGTTTTCTATTTCCCTCCTACTTCCTGAAGCCTCCTCACCTGAAAAAAGTCTGTTTGGGATTGTTGTCTGAGGAAATTCTGAGAGTTGGTGAAGAATTTCAGGTAGAATAGAGAACTGCTCTCTCCAAAGTCCAGTAAAGAAATTCCATCAGCAAAGGTACACTGAATTCCAGCCATGATTATAACAATCAAACACTGATATTCCTGCTTGTAAGAATTCAAGAACCTTTGAAATATCCATATTCAAAATCTGCAATTAATTTTTGTGCTCATTTTTCCCTGGTTGACAATTAGTAGGTTGAAGTTAAATTAGCAAAGGAGTCATTTTTTTTTTAATAATAAATGTTCTATCTGACTTTAATTACTTCATAATTCTCTCCGGATAGCTTTAAAAATCACAGTGGCTCAGTCCTACTTTTTCTGTGAATTAGACTGGTAAGTCTTAACCAACATTGACAAACCCTTAATCATGGAAAACAATTACGTGGCTCTTGCTGGCAGGTACAGCTAGTGGGCATGTAAGTGCTCATGGTCTGTGTGCAAAGAAGCACATTGTGTAGGCCCTACTTAGCTATGTCTGTGCTCCAGCCACCCTGTGCATAGAGTGGCTTGGTGACCAATGTTAGGTCATACTGTAAGATGTTTACCCAGGTACCTGTGTAGACTCTGTCACCAAAGTTTGACTGTAGCCCTTCCGATTTCGGTTGGGTGGTCATCTGAAACATTTTTGAATACTCCTGACAGTTAATGGAAAATCTTGGGGAGAAGGCTAGCAGAAAAAAGTAACAGATAGAGCCTGAACCCTTTGCTTTGCTCATTTATACTTGCAAGAGTTATACGGGTTGTCGAAATGTTCGGTTGCTCAGACGGAGGAAGCTTCTCTTCCAGTGAGCTCCTCTGAATAAAGGAGAGACGTACCTGATCTAGATTCTGGTCTTTCTATCTGGGAGGCCCCTGGCTCTCAGGATGGAAGTAAACACCAGGAGGGATTCAACGTAATAGCAACCCTGCTCTGAAATCCAAATAAGATGGAGGTATTTTAAATTTTAGATGGGACATTGTTTTACTGAATGGAGGAGCCAAGCTTCAACATTTGAAAAGCATCATGTCCACACCCACACGCCCACCTCCTGCCCATGTTGACTGGGGTACTGCCCTTCCCGGACCCAGCAGGGCCCAAGATGCTCTGCTATGGGACATGGAGTGGCAACAGTGCCCACCTCCAGTTACCAATACACCCAGTGTCCAGAACTCAGTTACTTGGTGCAATCCCACAATTGCCTCTTCTTTTCCTTAGCTGTGAGAATCCAGCTGTACACAATTAACATGCTGCTGCCTATCCTTGAAACCCCAAGTCTGCTACTAAGGTGGCCGCCTCCCTCGGCCTGTTGCCAGGGAGGGCATGGCCCCAGCTCCTGATCTCCCCTGTATTTTGCAAATCTTACGTTCACCAACTTAATCTTCTGTCTATATCAGAGCTATCTATTCCCTCCCATTTCCTGAAGAAATGTGTATTGAACAATACTCTCCAGTTGTGCTCTTGCTAACCAGGGCAATGTTTTATCCACACCTATGCAGGGAATAAATCACAAGACAGCGGGATTGCAGAGATGGAAGAGCTCCCGGTTCCACACAACATCAAGATTAGCAACATCACTTGTGATTCTTTCAAGATTTCGTGGGACATGGATTCCAAATCCAAGGAACGCATCACTCACTATTTCATTGATCTAAATAAGAAAGAAAACAAGAATTCCAACAAGTTTAAGCACAAGGTAGGTCGTCTATTCCTGTTGGCAGAAGGAGCTGCGTGAAGCATTAAGGAATGTGGGCTTCTGATTTCTGTACTCAAGTCCTCAAAATGTCTCTACCAGTAGTATGGGAAAGGGGAAAATAATGTTAAATTACTGACACAGAAGGGTTTTCCCAAAGAAAAGGCTACCACTGAACCCCGTGTGTAAGCTTCTAGCACAGGTTTAAATTTTTCCATAGCCCTTGCAGTGGTTTGGTACCTCTGTTTGGTCCAGACCAACACATTTTATAAACCATCAGGGGCTTAATAGGCCCTTGATTTTGTGGACTGCAAAAGTGGGGAAACGTAGCAGTGGATGTGTACTATAAGCCATGTTGGATTTCCCCCCGGCTGTTTTCCAATTTTCAGTAGCTATCTTCTACACACTTACTACAGAGGAAACTCCATTCCATTTACTGGGGTTAGTATGTATGTATGTATGTATGTATGTATGTATGTATAACTCATTTGATCATTTCTATATCACCTTTGAGATAAACGTTTGCATGAAGTTTGCTTGAAAATGTACATTTTCATGTGCATTTCTCCTAATACATACATTTGTGTGTATTCGTCTAGAATTTTATGCAAGTTGCTTTCCTAATATAACGCATTTATATTTATTATATCTCGGCAGAATGCTGCATTTGGCTCTCCCTCATGAGGTGTTGAGCCCTGATTGAGCCAGTATTCAAACAGTAGATGAAACTGAGGCAGAGCTATTGACAAGTGGGAAGAAAGGAGATATTATTTGGGGGGTTGGCCATAGCACGCATGTAGACCACATCGAAATAGCAGTGACTCAAGTCATTAGGAATAGTCAATTCCAGAAAGTACAAGCGGTCCAATATATCTGAAGCTTCAGCTCAATTCATGCCAATATTTTTCTATTATGACTCCATAGTTAGCTAGATGCCATCAAGTCAACAGTATGCAGAGTAACAAGATGGACAAAGGCTGGCCGTCATGAATTGTTTTTAGGAAATAGTCCAACTGGTTTTGAAACTTTCTTAGATATTATCTATTTCAAATCTCTCAGCAATTCCCAGATTTACAAAAATTAAATTATATAGAGAAAGAGAATGAAAAAGCAGTGTGAACCATTGTGTTCTTGTGTTCTTGTATTCTTGAGATTCTATTTGTTTCTCTGTAAGTAATTATTGTGATAGTAAAATGGCTTTTCCACTGCTATCAGGCTGTTATTGTTTAAATGGTCAAATACATCATTTAGTTACTGAATCTAATTCAGTCTGGATAATTTTTACACCCATGCTGCATAGCTTTGTGTTTTCAGATAGAAGAAAAGCTGTTAATTAAAAAGAAAGGCAGTAAATATCAAGATGTCAAGTATTTGCCCTGTAAAGTACTTTGAAAAAAATAATAAAATATGCATTTGAAGGACTAGTAAGGATTCGAAAACTAATAGTATTTTTTAAAGATCTTGACCCTGAGGATGTGAGTAGGTTAAATCAGTGGCTGTTATAAAACCAATGAAAATTATTTATTCCAACTAAGGCTGCCTTTAGACATGTGCTCTAAAAATTATTAGTCTTCCACTGTTCTGACTCCAATGATGATGGCAATGTGTTGAGCCAACAACAGGGTTCCAGGTGCAAATTTGAACCCCCAAAGTCTTGGGTTCATGGATTTATTTCAGTCTAGCATCATACGATTAAATGTAATTGTTGTTGTTGTTGTTGTTGTTGTTGTTGTTGTTATTATTATTATTATTATTATTCGGCATTGACAAAATCACCACCAGTCAATTGCAAAAGGCAGCTTTACTTGGAACAGCTTATATCCTGAGATGATACCTTTAACACCATCAAACAATATCTGCCTATCCCAGGTCCTTGGGCAGGACTCGCTAGTTGGATAAAAATGCCAAATCCAGTCTACACATCTGGCTGACTGTGTGATCAACCATAATGGTACTATGGCATAACTGCCCAATGTTGCTGGGAGTCAGGTGGCATATAAATAATAATAATTATTATTATTATTAGAGTCAATAATGCAAAATTTTATGCAGATCTCCATTTAGAATGCACATTTAGAATGCACGCTACTCCTGAGCAGATAAATCTTACATTCCTTTTGGAGGCAAAGAATTAGTCCTCACTTAATGACCACAATAGGGACCGGAAAATTCATTATTATGTAGGACGGTCATTAAGTGAGGCATCATGTGACCACATCCAATTTTACAACATTTTTTGCAGTGGTCACTAAGCGAATCACTGCAGTTGTTAAGTGAATCACACAGTTCCCCATTGATTTTGCTTGCTGGAAGCTGGCTGGGAAGGTTGCAAATGGTGATCACATGACCGTGGGATGCTGCAACCATCATAAGTGTGAGCTGGTTGCCAAGTGCCTGGATCACGATCATATGACCATGGGGGGGGCGCTGCAACAGTTGTAAGTGTGAGGACCAGTCGTAAGTAGCTTTTTTCAGCACTGTTGTAACTTTGAACGATCACTAAACAAATGGTCATTAAGCGAGGACTACCTGTAAAACCTCTCCCTGGGAGGCAATTTCATGGCCCTGGGGCTATGACAATAGAGCCCCTTGTCTTGGGTGGCAATGATCTTCCAGTCCTGAAAAGATCTGAAGAGGATGGTCAGCTGACCTCTGGGAATAGACGTGGCATCAGCCATCATTGTTTTGAACTGGGCTGGCAAGCAAATGAGCAACCGGTGCTGTTGCTGCTGTTGCACACCCACACATGTTCTCACTTCCTCCCCACCCATCAGAAGTGGAGATTGCATTCACGCTAAAGTGTGACGGAATGTGAGAGATTGTGGGGAAGCTGGGAAAGGAATATAAGATAGATATAAACAGATATAAACAATCAAGAGAGAGTTGATAGCCGAGCTCATAAATGGCAACTCAGCCCAGGTGGGAAGAAGCATTTCAGATCCTCCAGAGACTCCACCTTAATGAACTCACTGTAAATCCGCCTGCAATTTCCAAGTTTCTGTCTTCACTCTAGACTAGCATTAAAGATTCCTTACTGAAATCTGTGTAGTTCTTGCTCCCTTACCTGCCTGCTTCTTGACACAAAACTAGAGGAATCCTTCGCAACGTTCTCCTCTTCGTTTCTCCTGCAGCCCATTGGGCTATCACTGACAAGAAGAATCACTTCTGAATGAGGTCCCATTCCTATAGCAGCCCCCCTGTCAGTGATGCTCTTGGACTCCCCCGACCGCCGGTCCAAGTGAGTTGTTCTGCCCCTGGTGAACCTCACGCACACGGGATGGTCCGCTGCTTCTGAAGCATTTACTAGCCCCCCGAGCCCCTGCCAACCTCCCCTGCCCTTCTGATGCGGGGGGGAGGGGGCTCCAACTTTCAAAATCCCTAGGCAGCTTGGCCTTTCGTCCTCTGGCTGGAAAGAGCTGATATATATCCTTAAAAATCCACCTCCCCCTCACAATTCAGCCTGCCATTCTGTGTTTCATTACCCCAAAATACGTCCCTTTTGATGACATTCGTAGCTTGAATGTATCCAGGATATACATACGTTACACCCCCTTCACCTGTCCCTCCTTTTCCCAGGCCGTTTTGCTCCCTCTTACAGCACGCTGACTGGATGACGTACTTCGCGAACGTCCCTTATAAGTAGCTACTTCTGCCTGGAGAATTGGATACTCAGATAAAAAAGGAGTTACACCTATGAATATCATTGACTCTGAATAAGGGCAATATTTCAGTAATCACAGAATAAGGAGGTACAATCCGAGGAGTTTCTGACCTGCTCTGCTGAAGAGGCCGCATCTCGCGCTTCCCGGTGACGGTTTGGTGCCCTTTCCGTCTGCCTCCAACTAGACCAGCAGAACAAACCAGGAAGGCTCACGGAATCATGATTTGTTTAACATTACATACAAGCCAGGATCCCTCACTTGTAGCTGTTTTAATAAGGGGCTATTCCTGTTTAATTTAATTATTCTCGTATTTCGCACTTGTGGTTTATTTATGCAATATTATTCTAGCCAGAGGAGAAGAGGAACTCAAGACGGACGGCCTTTTTCCTATTATTTAAGCATATTCTTTCAGATTATCTTGTATTCTTATTCTTCATTTAGGATACTGTTAACAGTATGTCACTACAAGGGGAAAGTAGTGGTGGTAGCATATTTTTCAAACTGCGGCATTTCCTGTATGATATTCTATTTGTCGTATTACCTATGTGCTTCAAGGATATGTTTTGAGACTGGGGGGAGGCTCACTTTCCCACTGCTGCGTAATCCTGGGTATTTACTCTGACTGGCCTTTATCTGTCTGAGATTACCACGCATGTGGGGTGTGCCATAAATAGCTTCCAAGGAGCTTTCTTTGTTCCGGATAGTAAAGCGCACGCATGAAAGAACCGTCTTACAATACCAACAGCCTTGGAAATCCTGTCAACACCCTGATAATCTCCTTTTGCAGAATCCCACCAGCCAAATAGTACACCTGAAATACTCAGACTCTTGGTCTGGAGATTAATTCATTGCTTATGAAACTTCCCCCCACATGTGGAGTTGCTATAATATTTGCAACCTTATTCCAATTCCACCTCTTCCACCTATTTAGACGTCCTTCTCTAGAAGCTGTAAGAGAGCAAATACCTCCAGTTTATAGTCCTCCAACTACTATATTTAGGGCTGCTGTATCTGGGCTGCAATACTTCAAATGGCCACAGGATGGCAACACATCAGAATTAGAATTGGCAGCGTCGCCTTGCTGCCATCTAGTGGGCTTCTGGATGTTTGCAGCCCAGATGCAGGAGCCCTAGATTCCTTCCCTGCACAGTGCCCTCTAGACCAGCGTGCGGACATGACCCTTTATATGATGTCATTTTTCACAGAGTTAGTCGATCCACTCTCGTTTTTTAAGCTTTAGGGAGACAGAAAAAAGCTTGTTTTCCTCATTTTAAGCTATTGAAGCCCTTCACGTAGAAGTCAGCAATATAGATTGATCCTAGGCTTATGGGGAGAGAGGGTGAGAACAGCAGTTCACTGATTTGATTAATCTAATACTCATTAATATAAGATTTCTCGGTCGCATTGATAAACGCAGTTCCCCCGCTTGCAGTAGGTGCTCACGTGGTCCCCTGAAGCGATTAAACTTACAGAACTACAATACCCAGCAGGCTGGCTTGCCCAGAAGCCCTTCTCTTTTGTTCCTGTGCAATATGGTGCACCTCCTCGGTTTCCCAACTCCCACATTTCCGCCTTTCTGGCGGTGCCCAATTAAGATTAAGTCCTTGTTCATGGATTCATTCGGCAGCGGGGGGTGTCTCGTATTTTCCTACCGCCAACATGGAATTCCAAATATTACTTGCTTGGAAGGTAGAGAGCCAAGTCCATCTGAAGGTGGCCTTTTAAAAAAATAAATGTAAGAAACTGGCCCTTTTTGCTCTGGGGAAACAGATTTTTGCTCCTCCGATTCTCTTCATCCAAGATTTCTGTACCTTCAAGAGAGCGGAAACAGCGTTCTGACACTTTCACGAGCATACCATCAAAGGTCCCTCTCCCTTTGCTGTTTCCAGTATTTTCAACAAAAAGATTACAGCAGTGTTGTCCAAACTTGGCCACTTTAAGATGAGTGGACTTCAACTCCAAGAATTC